ATATATATATAAATAATCTGAAAACACAAATTAAAATAAAAGACTGAATTCCAAGATAATCTGATGAAAAATGTTCCAACACTGAACTATATTGTTGTTCAAGAATTCAATTCTAAGGATAAATAATGAAATCTTCAGGCAGAAGACAGAAAAAAATCATCAATTGAGGAAAAATATCAGAATGGCAGAATGGCCTGAGACTTCTCTGGAAACAACATTCAAAGTTAGAAGACAGTGAAGCAGTATCTTCAGACTTCTAAGGGAAAGCAAAGATGAGCTAAGAATGTTAAAGCAATGAATCAGGATGTCATTCAAATATAAAGAATGTAGGCAAGTGTTCTTAAAAATGATGAGCCCTTTCTGGAATAGGGTGGCAGATAAAAATCTAGCCAAAAATTAATTCCCAGGTTCTCTGAGTAAAAACAAAGAACTTGGGAATAAGTAAGTTGTTCTTTAAAAAAATGAGAGTAATTAAATTCACTGAAATATAGAACATTCAAATAGTGTGAAAACTAATTACAAAGAATGAATGCTATAAATTTAGACATGTTGCTGTTGTTGTTATGTGCCATTGAGTCGGACCCAACTCATAGCAACCCCTCTTTGGGTTTCTGAGGCAGTATCACTACGGAAGCAGATTGCCCTATCCTCCTTGCAAGGAGTGGTTGGTGGGTTTGAACCACCAGCTTTCTGGTTAGCAGTCAAGTGCATTAGGCACTATGCTACCAGAGCTCCTAAGAGATGGCCAGTTACCTGGTGGGGAGCGGCTGATGGGTTTGAACTGCCAGCCTTGGGTGTGGCAGCTGACTACCCGAGGCCCTGAGGCCATCTCCTAGGGAATATAGACATAGCAAAAATTAAAATGTAAACAAAAAAATTGAGAGGGGAGAAGAGAAAAATATACCAGGCCTTTCATAGCAGGACGTCAAATGAAAACGTAATTTAAAAAATGATGGTATGATGCTCTATAAACTTTCACCCAAATCATAATTTAAAAAAAAAAAATGATATGAATGCACTAAAACTCTCTGAATTATAAAGCTTTAAAGGATAAATTATATGAGAATTTTATCACAATTAAACCAACCAGTTGCTGTCGAGTCAATTCATGGTGATCCCCCATGTGTTTCTGAGTAGAACTGTGAACCTTGGAGTTTTCAATGGCTGTGATCTTTTGGAAGCTGCCTCTGGGTAGACTCTAACCTGCAACCTTTCAGTTAGCAGCTGAGCACTTCAACCTTTGTACTACACCCTGAGATTCCATGAAGTTGTTTACCAGAGAAAAGTTCATTTCTAGCCAACTAGTTCTTGCTGTGTCCAAAGGACAGAAATCCTGCACTAATTTTCTTTATTGGAAAACCACCATAGCAAGACCAAGTTCAAATTGTTAAGATCAGGTTAGCCACAAACAGAAGGTGCTTTGAGTAGCTGGTAGCTGACGTGGGTTGACCACAGGGCTACAGAAACTTTTACTATCTACCCAGAATACCTCATGACTCTTTCACAAATGAATTTAAAAATTTTTAATGACAGAACATACTAACATTTTACCTGGGCAGTGTCTCATGGCTAACATTTAAAACTGGCAATTTCCTCACAACAGCAATATGTTTAACCTACCTCAAATTCTGCATGTCTGTGAATATCCTCTGCTCTCTGTCTGCTCAGGATAAATTCAGCTTCATTTGCTACTCTTACAAGATGATCCTTCATTGTTTGGCTAAGCAACCTACAAGAGATGAATAATATGAAGTAAACATATGTCACAAATACAACATACATGATTATCCAATGTTCAAAGAGTTTTTTGTTTTGTTTTGTTTTGTTTTGAGGGGAGGGGAAAGAATATGTACTCTCCCTTTACAAAATCATACCCAAAGAAGCACCATAACTGGGGACACCAGACTCAATTGGCACAACAACATATATAAAAACCTTGTTCCTCATCCTACACTGGTGAGTAGCGACTGGGGTCTTAAAAGCTTTCAAGCGGCCATCTAAGATGCACCTAATGGTCTCCTATCCTCAGAAGCAAAGAATAGTGAAAGAAGAAAAAAGGGCATTTGGAAGCTATCAGCTCTAGGACACAATGGCCCTCGAGAGCAGAAGAACTAGATGGTGCCTGGCTATCAATGCCAATCACTCAGGAAAGGATCAAATCTGGAGATCCTGGATGGAGTGGGAGGAAAAATGTGGAACAAATTCCAAAAATTCAATAATGACGAGAATTACTGGTCAGACAGAGTCTGGTGAGGCCCCCAATACTATGGTGCTGGGATACATTCTGGGCCTGGAATAAAGCTCAGTCTCAAGGGCTGGCTCTCAACCCAATAGTAAACAAGATGTACATGCAGACCACTCAACAGAGGGTGATGCACCCACACACTTATGGAAATGCATCCCTTGGAACAATCGACCACAGGGCACCAGAGGGGCAACATTCACAGAGAAGAAATGCAGGACACACAGGAGCACATAACTATGAGGGGCATGGGGGCAGGGGGCGTGTTACAGGGCAGGGTGGGAAGGACACTGGGTTAGGGTTGGGCATGGTAAATAGGGAGTGAAACTAAATATACACATAATGTTGAATGTAAAACAAACTCTTGAAAAAAAGAAGCACCATAATTTCACACTAACTGACTGAAGAATATAAGAGCAAAAGGTTATATATACTTCTGGGAACAGGAGATTTGCTTCTATGAGACCAATCATCCCACCCAAAGAAACAAAACACTTCTGGATTAAATTTGTTTTATCAAGACATTTAGGAGCTCCAAAGATAGCCAACACTTAAGAAGCCAATAACATAAAGATAGCAGCACAATGAAGACATTCAGCTTGATTTTCTCATTCAGCATTTGCTATTCACAGGTAGCAACTAAGAAGCTGAACAGAGCTTTCTACAGTCTGAAAGAACTAGGAAGATAAAAACTGAGGTTCACAACATGCCAACGTGGAGGGATACTGATAAATTATCCAGGCCTTTGTAAGGAACCCAGGTATGCCTTAGAAAAAAAGAAATAGACCAAGCTTCACAAATACTGAAACAGAGCCTCAGATAACACTATGTGCTTTGCACCTAGATTAACTGGCAGCCAAAAAAAGTTAAGAAAACTGTCAGAATCTCACAGAATGGGAAGAAAAAAAAGAATTAGAAACACCAATGGATGGAGGCCAAAAAACTCAGGTTTTTGAAGGACTCAGAAAGATGGTAAGCAAGGAGCAGACAAACTGGAAATAAAGGAAACACACAAAGACACAAAAAATCAAGCCTTCAATCAATTAAATCCTAAATTAACCTAATACTCTAGACTAACAATTGATCTGAAATAAAAAAAAAAAAAATCTCTCTTGAAGAAAATAATAATATACTCCACAGACTGAAATTTATCTCCCAATATTTAAAATATAACCTCCAACATTCAATCAACAATTAACAGGTGTAACAAGAGATAACGCCAAATAAATAAAAAAACAAAGACAAACAGAAACAGAAAAGCAAGATAGCAAAGTTAGACTGCATAACAAAGAATTCCAGGAGAGAATGGAAACTATACAATCACTAAACACCACAAAAAATAAAATTAAGAATTGAACTAATGGATTTACCACTGTGGTGTTTAGTTAACTTGACCTAAAGAATTTATTCTTCTTCCTTGATTCCTGGGAGATAATCCAAACCCTTAGAATCTTCTGAGTGATTAGAGTGTGTTTGTCCTTCCAGATCACATCTGACAGGTTATGCTAATGAGGTGACTCTTCAGTATGGACTAGCCAAGCCAGAAAGACCTAGTGTATAATATAAATCAAACCATATTGGGAGTAATTCCAACCATGCTTACATAATGAAACTCAAAATCTCTGGACACTGAAGCTCAGAAAGCTTCCTGGCTGGTGAGAGATGATGCTCATGAGGGCAGCACATCCTTTGGAACATGGAGCTCCACCTTGGGGCCTCTATCAGACTTCACATTACATGTCTCCTTATTTGTACCTTTACTGATATAATGAACTGGTGGTTTTAAGTACAGTGCTTTCTTCAGTTCTGTGTTTCATTCTATCAAATTATCAAACCAAGAAGAGCTTAATGGGAACTCCCACATTTATAGTCAGCAATCAGAAGTAAAGAGGGTCTAAGGGACTTCCAAGCTTATTACTGGCATTGTGAAGAGGAAAACTGGAATTTATAGCCATCAGTTCAGAAGTGAGGGGGAATCTGGGGATTATCGCTGGCTTCTAAAGTCTTAGGCAACCTCGCAAGTCTGAAGGACTACATCCTTTATCATGCAATAACTATCTCTGGTGGTTAGGGTCATAGAAAGGACTATTGCATTTGCAGCTGGTGGCATAGTGCCTAAGGAATGTAACCACTAACCAGAAGGCTGGTGGTACAAATCCATCAGCTACTCCTCAGAAGGAAGGTTGGCAAATCTACTTCTGTAGAGATACCACCTCAGAAACCCAAGGAGGGGTCACCATGAGTCAGACAGTACTCCATAGCAGTGAGTTTGGATCAGAAACAATATTTAGATTTAGAATTAGTTGGCATCAGAGAAGGTAAACATGCACAGACAACTAAGTAGCAAGTTAAACACAGTCAAAGAAGGATTAATGAACTGGAAGATCCAAACCAAACCAAACCAAACTCATTGCCATTGAGTCAATTCTGACTCATAGTGACCCCCTTTGGGTTTCTGAGGCAGTCATCTTTACAGGAAGTAGCCTGTCCAGCCTTTCTTCTGTGGAGTGACTGGTGGGTTTGAACCACCAACCAAGGCTTCAGAGAAAGTAAACATACACAGATAATGGAGTAGAATGTGAAACACAGGCAAAGAAGAATTAATGAACAGGAACATAGGTCAATAAAAAGTAGCTCAACTGGTTGTTGTTGTTGTTATGTGCCGTCGAGTTGGCCCTGACTCATAATGACCCCTCCTTGGATTTCCAAGGCAGTATCACTACGGAAGTAGACTGCCCAACCTTCCTTCCAAGGAGTAGCCAGTGGGTTTGAACCACCAGCCTTTTGGTTAGCAGTCAAGTGCCTTCCTTAAGCTCTATGCTACCAGAGTTCCCAGCTTAACTGGTACATGTTGAGAAAAATGTGAAAATCTGACCAAATAAAATGAAAGACATACACAATGTAGTACAAGTTCTAACATAAGTACATTTGGAGGATCAAAAAGAGACTAGAAAAAATAATTTTAAAAAATAATCTTTGAAGAGATAAAGGCCAATATTTATCCAGAACTGAAAAAAAGACACTGAACTGCAAGTTGAAGAGTGCTACAAAACCCAATCAGGATAAAAGAAAACCAAACCCACTCCTGTCAAGTTGATTCCTTCTCATAGTGACCCTAAAGGACAAAGTGGAACTGCCTCTTGGGTTTCCAAGGCTGTAAATCTTTACAGAACCAGATTGCCACATATTTCTCCTGCAAAATAAAAGTAAGCTAAGACATATCATACTAAAGTTGTCAACAGAAAAATCTAACTACTACCTGAGCCATAGGGAAGGAAGTAGAATGATAAGGGAGAAGAGTAACTTCTTGTCTTTGAAAGAGCAATAGTAAAAATGACAGCTGAATATTCAATACAAATGATAGAGGCCAGATAATAATACAATGCTTTAAAGTGCTAAACAAAATTAGCAGCTAACTTAAGAAGTCTATAACCAGGAAAAATACCTTAGAATAATGAAATACAAGTAAGTTCTGGTAATACTACAAGGTGGCAAAAGGTTACCAACAACAACCCCTACAAATATCAGTTTTAGAAATTAAGGAATGTACCTCTATATAACCCAGGGGTCAGAGAAAATATCACAACAGAAATTAGAAAATAATGTGTACTGAAAAGCAAGGAAAACTACCCACCAAATTATGAGGAATTTAAGTAAGACTATACTTGGTGGGAAATTTATACAATGAATACATATATTCAAAATGAAGATCTAAAAATTAATAAAGCATTCAACTTAAGAAATCAGAAAAAGAATACCAAAACAAATACAAGGAAAATAAAACAACAAAGATAATAGTAGAAATTAATGAAAAAAATATATACTTTAGAAGATCAATATATGTTTAACTTGGTACTTTGAAATATCTAATAAAATTAGTAAGTAAGAAAACAAAAGTTACCAACATAAGGAATATGAAAGATGATGTAACTTCAAAATCATAGGATGATATTGTGAACAAATTAATCAAATCTGAAATACTTTTCAAAATTTGGAAAGAAACAGGAAAATACAAATAAAAAAATTTATACAAGAAATATAAAATCTGAATCATCCTATTCCTATGGTAAATTCTTTTATATATATTTTTTTTAAATAACATCAATATTCATAAATTCTTCCAAAATACCGAAAAACTGCTAGCCCAGTCTAAGAAAGCAGTGTAACATTAATACAAAAATCAAACAAGTAGAATGAAGAAAACCAAAAACGCATGGAAATAATCAGTCCAAGGGACTGGAAGACCATGCAATCCTAAGCCTATATGACCATGAGACCAGAACAACTAGATGGTGCCCAGCTACCAATGTCAACCTCTTGGAGGGGGATCACTGCAGAAGATCCTGGGAAGAGCGGGAGCACAATATGGAACAAACTTCAAAATCATTTTTAAAAGACCAGGTTTACTGGTCTGATAGAGCCTGGTGACACTCCTGGGACTATGGCCCCTAGAGACCCTTCAGGTCTGGAACTGAACCCACGCCTGT